TTTGCTGGCTGTAGCAGCGCTATAGCGCTGCTATAGCGCTGCACAGCAAAAACGCATAAAAATATATATATATTGTTACACCGATTGATTCTCTGGTATGTGCGGTGCTCATTATTTATTCCACGCAAATTTTGCAGTAATCCCCTGAGATATTCAATTGATGAGGCAATTGCGCATTTAAAAGCTCATACAATAAAAGGGCTAATAAAAGGGCTCTATCTCAGTATGTTCCGATTCCTGAGCAAATGTAAGCGAAAAGCTAACGTCCATGTGTTGGCTCCAATTCGACATTGGTGGTGGATAAAGTGTCGTGCTCGACAACAACACGTGGGTCTGGTTCGCTGAAGCGTTGCGTGCTCTCGGATCGCATTCTCCTTCCCTCTAATCGACTGCTACTTGGTGTCATTTCGGTTAATACCTTTTCCAAAGAACCGATAGTACTGGCTCTGTAGTCGCATACGTTGTCAAAATAATCCACCTACAAAAAACGATTTTTACTTGGTTCCAGTACAATCCGCATTCTGGAATCTTTTTCCTTGGAGGCTTTTGTGAAAAATTTTCAGTGCTGAAGATTCAAAATCCCAAATTTCTGAAGTTTCTGAAATTTTAAGACAATCACCGCTGACTGCTACCACCTTACAAAAAAAGAAACCACGACGTTAGCAGATGCACATCATTAATTGCCAAAATGACATTTGAAAAAAGCAACCTCCTCATGCTCCTGGAACTCCTCAGGATTTGAATACTGAGTTTTTTCACTCAAAACACATTCATCCTGAAAAAAACACAGTTGAAAATGACCACAAAATAATTTGATTTCTCAGTGACAAATTGTTTTTTGCCCAGTGCAGAGCATATTTCGCTTTTCCCGAAATCCAACAGCAGCAGTGTCTCACATCGACACTCGCAAATTCAAGTAAAAAAATTTATCTTGACAGGACTACAAACAATTTTTTCTAGCATAAAGCAGTGATGTAGAAAAATAACCTTGTCATGAAAGAACATTACCGCATTGCACTGTTTGCCAGCTTTGAAACAGTGTTCCAAGCAGTGCGCTATGTTTGTTGAAGGCAGTGCCTGTAATTTATAAAACTATTCTGTCCAAAAATCACAAAACAATCGTATTTAAATTAGACATCGAAAAAAGAGTGATCTCATGAAGTGAAAATGTCCCAAGAATATCAAAACTGCCTGGGCTATCACTGCGGTCATCCTATATTAGTGATGATACTGGAGAAAACAGATGAACCTTATTTTCGATGCTTATAATTGCACGACCAGAAACATGCTCAAAACTACCTTCTTGACATAGCACTGGACCTGAAAATGCATAAACGGTTAATTGCAAAATATTCACAATAGCGCCGTGCACTGGGAAGTTCAGGAAACCATTTCATTTTATACAAGTCTGGATGACCTTGACAAGAAGTCTGCTGCATTAATATGAATTTAAAATTTCAAAGCTCTGGTCGCATAAAATAGCCAAACAAGCCAAAAAAATCACTATGATATGGAAACTGATCGCAAAAATGTGTTATCGCAAATTTAATTGTTTTAATTCTAATTGAGCAGTGTTCACCTTTGAGGCAGATTTTCTCATAATATTCGAACATTTCTCGATCATCTGTTTTGTTAGAAGCTTTCCGGGGGCGAGCTAATCCTGACTCGGAAGTTAAGTGACATTCCATTCGATTCTCACTGTATGCATATAATTTGCATGGAAAAGGCTGGTTGTCGATTCTGTTATTCTAAAATTTATCATCACTTTCTACTGGACAGCGTAACCAA